CCAAAACTATGTAGTGGAAAGCTTCATGCCTCGAATATTTGAATCCTAAGGGTATATTCCATTGAAAACCTGAGCATCCATGCAAATAATTAGAGGGTCCCTCCCCCATAGAGGGATTGATCTTACAAAACATGTTATTAAGTTGGTCTGCCAGCAAAAGGTGCTCTGATCTTACTTTGAGTCAACATAAGGGTGCACATTTTAGTTTTTGTCACAAAGTACATAGCCTGGGTTCTCCATGACATCATCCTATAAAGTATTATACAAGTCCTTTTCTGTCTTTTTCCTATTCTACTTTACACTGTGCTGTGACACAGGGTGAACCAAAGAACTATGGAGACAGAACTCAGCATGACCTGAGCCTCAAAATGTTTTCTTTCCTTTCAGTTACAGGTGGAGCATAAAAGATTCAAATGTTGTATGTATCATAGAATTTCTTTCTCAACACACATTGTAGATAAGAATTGTATAAATACTAGCTGTCTTTTGTCTGGTACACTACTATGATATAAGATCTCTATTGGGAGTGAAACTTGGGAATTTAAAGGGTAAAACATGATACCCTAAGTTACCCGGTCATGGCCCTGTGTCTACAATAACTGCATTCAACTCTAATGCCTTTAGTTTGGGGAGGATTTTGTGCACCAGGCAGTGACTACATAGTTGTTGGCACTTGGTTATTGAGCAGTGCTGGATCATTCTTTTTGCTACATATGCATCTTTAAAGGTAAGCTCAAATTTGAGTTCCAGTATTACTTCTCTCACTACTGGTCAGTCTTCATACTGCCTGCTGAGTCTGAGTGCTCAGTGGAACCATATAGACAGCTATGAGTTACATAGAAAGAGTTTGGCTGGGATGTTGGATGTGTTAAAGTGCCTTCACAGTCAGACCTTTGACATAAAAAGAATTTGTCACAGAGAGCTAATATGGGCAGAATGACTAGTCCAGTTGGTTTAGTGTGTTCCTAGCATGTGAAAGGTCCTAGTTTTGATACCACTGTCTCTAATAGGCACCCATGGGGGCACATTTGTGTAAACACAGTTCTCCTGAACTGGAGTGAAGAGAATCATAAATTCAAACTCATCCTTTTATAAATAGGTATTTTAAGCCTAATTTCTGAAAATTAAAAAAAGCACATGTAGAGAGTGCGCTTGCAGCAAATGCCCCCTTGAAGAGGAGTTTTTAGAAACTGGACTTTGATGAGTTAGAATAAAGCAGGGATGGTATATACTTAGTGTACCATTAATGTCCCACACTGCCATTCCAGCTACACTTAGTATGGCTGCTGCACATAGTGGCTGAGGATGTTTGTCATCTAGAAAGCCACATGCATACATATCATCCAAATGCCAGACCACCTTTCTTGCCTGCTCAGGTTGAAGACATCAGGGTTTGGCCAATATAAGAATTTTTGTCCTGCCATACCATCTAATGGGACAACTTGACTTAATATGATTTGGCGTCTAAGTATTTCTGAGAAATACAGAAGAATCTATAATCCCTAGTGGTCCAGATTGTTCACTGGAAGACATGTGACAAGGTGAAGATGCAGAAGGAATGCCACATATTTGTACTAAGCCAGGGCTCTTTACTTATGGATCAAAGTACAATTTTGAGTCAGGGATTGAAAGATAGAGACTCTCTCTCTCTCTTTCTTTCCTCTCTCTCTCTCTGTCTCTCTCTGTCTCTCTGTCTCTCTCTCTCAAAAGGCTTCTGTCAGAATTTGAATACAATGAAAAGACTATAACTAATATGGTATCCAAAGGTGGAAAATAAGAGGTCATACAATATTCTATATTTCCCAGCTCATCTAAGACAATACCACATGTTCTCCATGACTTGTAAATACCATGATTAAATAAAAAATGAAAAGTCAACAACAAACATGTTCCCTGTCCTGGATCCAGTGGAATACTCACTCTGAATTCAGTTACCAGAGTCTAGCTGAAGTCCTCTGGTACCTAACAAACAGCATTTCTGACAAAGATCTTGCATTTATCAAACAAAGAGCATTTGTGCTGTGCATGAGCCTTTCCTTATGGTTTACCATGTAGAGTCATCTTTCAAACCTGAAAGTCTCATGGGAAGTCTTTCTGAACCTTCTATTGTTTGAGCGAAATCAGGGAGAAGAGAGGGATTGTATGAACAAGGTTGTGTTCATGTGTTTCTCAGAAGGATGTGACTCCCGTCTGGTACCATGTCCATATAACACGTTCCAGTCCTGCTGCTCTTTCTGTTGTCACAGCCACATACATGTAGACATTACCTAAGGTGTCTGTGGAATGCTTCATCACACAAGGCGGTGACCTTCCTGAAGCACCGTCTGACTCTGACGACTACCTGGAGACAGGAAATGAGATCATAGTTACAAACGCACAACCATGATGAATTTTCTGTTTTGCTGCCATAAAGCTAACATAACTCTCCCTGTTGTGAATGTATCCTCAGTTTCTTCAATCTTAAAAAGATTTCATAAGAAGAGCCCACGTCCTTGGAAGGAACCTCCAGTTCCTCCAATTACTTTGAAAGAACCATCACAACCAAGGAAAAAAGGTAAATACTGAGGATTTGCTTCAGTTATCTGTAGTAGTTGATTATCCTGTGTGCCCTCTGAAAAATGTGAATAGATTTAGCATATTTTTAATAAGTGAAAAATGCTAATGTGTATCTCATCAGTAGGAATACAACCCTAAAGAGTACCAATGTACCTAACAGTCACTTTGGCTCTCACTGAATAACATGAACTAGAGGAAAGCCGAGGCCCATGTTGGATGATCCAGTGTGGCTTCACCTGATTTAGGCAGGACTAGGTGAGCCACTCTCTGTACTACATACTTTTACCTGTGGGTGATCCATTTGGATTAGATCTGATCCAGGTTACAGGTGAATTATATAAAAACCTTGGACAGGGCAGTTGGAGAGAGTCCCAGAAGTGCTCATGTTACACCCTGTGCCTAGGAGTGTGAGAGAGTAGGAAAGAACTCTATAAGGACAAGGAAAATGGAAGATTTCTCTGATTTTCCTCTTTCAGAGGCATAAGAATAAGCAGTAGCTGTCCATGGAAATGGCACCTAAATTATTTGTCCATCCCCTTTAACAAAATCCTTTGAGTAAAACACTCTAGGGATGAAAGGTTTGTTTTGCCCCTTAGCTTGAGAATGATGGGCATCGAGAGAAAGAGAGAGAGAGAGAGAGAGAGAGAGAGAGAGAGAGAGAGAGAGAGA